AGAATGTCTTCCTAGTAGAAGACCTAAAGCTCTGCACTCCCCTTTCTCCACAGAGAAGCTTCATACAGATCCTTACTCCCCCGCCAAGATCCCAGCACAGGCTACCCTCCAGCCAGCCCCCCATCTTATTCCAACCCCCTCATTCTCAGAGTTTCCTAACTTGGAACAAATCTATTCTCCCAAAACCCCTTATTAAACGACTACATCCTTTTATCAGACTGTGGAGGGAACAGGCCTGGTGTGCCTCCTTTTCCCCACCAAACCTCCCTGAGGACGTCCTCTTTTTTGGGATTCAGTAGTTCAGAGACAAGTTTCCTATTTCCCCCGCAGCCCAGACACGTCTCTGTCTCCTACCAGCTAGGGAGCATCTTCCCATCCCCCAAGCGGGGGCACAGTGAGAAGCCTGGATTCTCCCAGGCCCTGGGACAGGCTCCCGCACACACTCTCCTCCAACTCCGGACCAGCCTCCCTCCCCCAACCCAGGGCCCTGCCAGCTCCGCCCCAGCTCAGGCCAGGCCCCATCCTCCCTCCAGACCCAGAGCAGGTCTCCCATCCCCACAGCTGCTCCCGGCAGACCCCGTCTACCTCTGAGTCCTTCCCCGAGTTTCCTATCTCTGCGCCCCACAGGAGCGGCCTCCGCGCCTCGGCCCCCGAGGGGAGCGCCTGGGGCCTCGAGAACCCGGCAGAGCCGGCGGCCCGGCTCCACTCACCCCTCAGCCCGGGAGGCGGGGGAGCTGCTGCGGCGGCTCCTCCGGCTGCGCCTCTCCTCCCCCCTCCCGGCCGCCACTCAGCCTCGGGCCTGGTCCCGGCCGGCCCCGGCCCGGCTCCGCTTCACCTCGTCCCGCACCCCGGCCGCGGGAGCCCGGTGTCCTGCATTGACCCGGAAGCAGCTTTCCCGACCCAACAACAACACGTGACCCTGCCGCACGTGTCACGTCCGCTGCGTGAATAGGAGGGGGCGCTGGAGGAGCAGGTCCTCTCCAACCCAGCTGGGGTTGCCATGGCGACGGGGAAGGCTGCACTGGTCTGGCCTTCATGAGAAACACACCTCATGTCCTGCTCTTGCTCTTGCCCATCTATCGAGGGGACACCAGGTGCAGAACATGAGTACGAATTGTCATATCAGAGTGACACAGGGGCAGATCAGAGCAGACTCCGGACAGGGGAGAGGCTACTGCCTTACAAAAAGGAGCACTGGGTGAACTTTTCCGAGACACTTGGAATCTTGGCCTGGCTCTGTTGCTAATTTGCTTTGTGACCCTGACCAAGTCACTTCCTGTCTCTGGCTTCAGTGTCCTCCTCCATAAAATAAGGAAACTATACTAGGTGAGCCCTCAGCTGTAATCTAATAAGATCCCATAGTGCTTGTGCATCAGGGTGTTGTGGCACTTTGACCTTTCTTCTGTGCCCCCTTCACAAGTGACATCCTGAGCTTCCAGCACCAACGTAGCTTTCATTTATTGAGCACCTTCTAGGTACAGGCACTGTACATATTCTATTTTTAATTTTTAAAACTTCAAAATGTGGCATTTTATAGAATTGAAAACTGAAGTTCAGAGAGATTAAGTGATCTGCCCAAGACCACCCAGTTGGTAAAAGTGACCAGGCCGAGATGTGAATGCACCAGAGTTCATGCACTTCAGATGATGCCATGCTATTGCTCCAGCTCCGTGCACAGTAGAACATCTGATTGTTGGGCTGTGATTGCTTATGTGCTTCTTTGTGCATTTCTTTTGCAGGAACATACATGGAATAGGAAGAGGGCCGGCTGATCCTGAAGAGAATTCAGCCTTGTACGGATATGTCAGCTGAAGTGCTAGTTGTTGAAGAGGTCTTTGTGCATAGTATGTGCTTTTGTGTGGTGTGTGTCAGGGAGGAAGTGGGGTATGTGATTTTCACACATGTATGTATTGATTCCTAGAGAGGAGAAAACAAAATTCTTTAGGGGAGACCCAATGGCAGCTTATCATCATCAGTTCCTGGGGACTTACTTTTGTCATTTGGTTTGGTTTTGTCTTACCCCATAGGTAGGGCTTAGAGGGGTTAGAGAAAAAAAAAAAAAAAACAGAAGGAGCTGCTTAAAGAAAATACTCTGAAGGAAAAGGGGAGGATGAGCCAGCATTTCATCCTAGGTTTCTCAGGTGGGGGCATTCCTCCCCCTTCCACAGAGAACAGAATGCATTTCTGGCACCTTAAGAAGTAATGGCTTTTGGAGCGTTGGGGGTCATTGGCGGGACCACAAAGTAGCTTCAGGGGTGAAGACCATGGAAAGAGCAGAGTGAAATATACAGAGAGGAGAAAGAGCAAGGTGGATGCTCCATGGATACTCGGTTGACAGACTTACTTGTGAGCTCAAGTATATCCCAGGATACTTAGGAGGCTTGATGCCCTGTGAGCAACTAGGAAAAAAGCTAGAAATGTGAGTTACTACTATTAACAAATACTACGTGTGATGTACATAAATATATATATATATATGAGTATTGTATTTGGCTGGGTGTGGTCAGCTATATACTTCTTTGTTTCTATGAGATATCCTTGAATCACTTTTCTGTTTCTTTTGTTCCTATCTCTCCCCTTATAAAGCACACTCCTAAAGACAAGATCAATGTCTCTACCCATCTCCCATCTATCTCCCCAAGACAGCCAGGATTATCTTTCTAAAACTTCTATCTGATTGTGTTATTGCCTGGAGCTTAAAACCCTTCCAAGATTCCCTGTGGCTCTCAGGATAAAGTCTACAATTATTAAGGTGCTTCTCAAGGTTTTTCCAGATCTGACTTTTCCAGCCTCATCTCTTACCACTGTCTCCCTTCTTCTATATCTGCTCTTTTCACTCTGCTAGCCACTAGCCACATGTGGCTATTTAAATTTAAGTTAATTAAACTTAAGTTAAATTAAAGCTTCACCTCCTCAGTCACATGCCACTAGCCACATTTCAAGTGCTCAATCACCATATGTAGCTAGTGGCTATCATATTGGACAGTGCAGATGAAGTATATTTTCATCATTACAGAAAGTTCTATTAGACTGTGCTTTTCTATACGCTCAATTATTCTGTGGGAATTCCCTCTGCTAAGCCATTTGCTTGAAACATTCTTCTTCTACTTCCTTGCCACTGAAAAGTATAGATATATACTTTTCAAGCTATGTCCTTGTCTCTTTGACAAGCATGTAAGGACGGAGGCAGGACTATTGTGTTCATCAGCGATTCCCTATTATTTCTAAAGGGCTGTCATATAGGAAAAAGAGAGTGGACATTGAACTAAGGTGTCAGAAAGTAACAGAAAGGCAAATTTCTGGTCATTTTGTTAGAAATTATTGATAATTCAATCACTTTGACCTACAAATGGCAATTTCATATGGTGAGACCTAATAATAAGGAAGAACTTTGGAAGAACTGGAGCTGCTTTAATCAGTTCTAGTTAATTCCCCGTCATTGGAATAGATTAAGCAAAGGCAGAACCTATTAGAACAATGTCTCGCAATAAGAAGTACATCTTACATCATGATCTAGTACTTACATATGATTGAAAAGTTTCACAAAGTAGTCCTTACTCTCTGTGATTACATGTGATACATTCTGATCGTTTCTATTATATTCCATTCTCTTTCATTTAAAAAATGCTGACTCCGAATTGATTTATGGGTCATAAATTGCAGTTTGTAAAAGACTTTCTGGGCACATTTCTTAGGCTTCGATCAGTGTCCCCATATTATAAGTTTCTAGAGAGCAAGGATGATTCTAAGATGGAATTTTACAGGAAGGGGAGGGCAGCCACGTGCAATTGACTGCTCCAATTGTTTAGATGTTTATAACATGTAGCATATTTGACCCGTGTTTTCTGAAGTTCCATAATCTGAATCTTTGATATCTTAATGTTGTTCTGAGTTTTTACTATGCCAAACACTGCTTGAAGTATTTTTCATTTTACTGTGTTTTCTTCAATCCTCACAATGGTCTTATGAAGGCCGTTTGGTACTATAAGATTTACCAAGTAAGTCTCAGGTTAAGTCATACACCCAGCAACATACAGCTAGTAAATGGCAGAGGCCAAATTCATATTTAGGTCAGTCTGACACTGGAAGCTGAGTTCGTAATAACTCTGCAATCATGAGGCATATTTCTATCATGAAGTTTCAGTCAGATATTTGCATGTCCTTTTAATTCAACAAATGCTTATTTTACAGCGGTTGTGTGCCTTGTACTTAGCTAAGTGGTTTGGGGAAAATGATAAATATGGTGTGGTCACTACAATGTAGTTGTAAAGGTAATGCATATACCTAAATAACAGTGAAACAGGGCAATTAAAGAGATACTGTTTTTAAAAGGGGATAAAGGAGTCATCTTTGTAGCTGAAGGCTCTTCCCAAGTAGGCAAAAGGATAAGGACAGAATTATATGAGAATCCAATGTGGACAGCAATAGAACACAGATGGGAACACAGGGGAAGAGGAATGCAGCTGCTTCCCTTGAAAGAATAATGATTGGTTTGGAAATTAAGAGTCTTTAATACCAGTCCCGGTTTTTCCATTAACCAGCTGTGTCTCTTGAACTCTTTCTGCCTTAGACCATTATCCACCAAATAACATGGATTGAACAAACTGCCATGGTGAATCACCCAAAATTATGTGTAACATACTGCATGTATTAAACTGTGTATATTATACGTATATACATTTTCAAGAGGAAGTGCTATAGATTTCATCAGATTCACAAAGAAATCCTAACTCAAAAAAAAAAATTAGGAAATACGATCCTTTTAAATTCTGCAATTCTCAGATTCTATACTTTATTTTTGTCAACATTATTGACATATTTGTCAGGAAATGAACTGTCATGTCAAGCTTAGTGACCTAGCAAAGGGCAGAGATTTTTAAAATTTTAATCTGGAGAATCATTCCTAGAATTTTTTAGAAAGTATCAGTATTTCTTACTAGGCAGAAT